GTAATGCGATCAGCAAATAAATGTCTTTTGTACCTTGAAGCGTATTGTTTTGATGAATCAAACGAGTCTGTTGTGTGACAAGATTTACAAGACATGTAAACAAAAGCGAGAATCATAAATCTAACAACGAGCCAAATATTCATCAACTAGAATATTTGACATGGGGGGCCCGTAGTTGGAGCGGAATCGGGACCTCTCGACTATTGTGTTCCTGTGTACCGGACGTTTCCTGTACCCGCTGCAGCTGATCCTGTGCTGTACCACCTGAGTCTGTGTTCCTGTGTACCGGACGTTTCCTGTACCCGCTGCCGCTGATCCTGTGCTGTACCACCTGTGTACCGGACGTTTCCTGTACCCGCTGCCGCTGATCCTGTACCTGTTCCTGTTCCTGCTGTTGCCTAGAACTGTTCGTGTACCCGCTGTTCCTGTACCCAAGTTTCCTGTACACGGTAGTTCCTGTACCTGAGAGAATTACCTGTGTCGCCGTACTAGACACCACCACTACTATTGTGCCACGGTACTGGACACCACCACCACTACTGTGCCGCTGTACTGGACACCACCACTACGTTTTTGCTGTCCGGAGCAAGTCATCTACAGACAAGACCGGGTAATTAACTTTATTAGAAATGTTATGTGGTCGTATGATGATAATTTTGTAACCAGAAATTTAAGTGACATATTTTTTTGACATGGTACTTATTGAAAGTTGGGTTGTACCAGAATAGAAGTAGACTATATATTGTAAACCGGTGAAATGAAGACCATAGAAGAACTTTGTCAGGAGGCGATTAAGTTAGGATTAGAGGGGAAAGAAATTATGAAATATGCCATGGAAAAATTAGAAAGATTAGAAATGGAGGAAAGAGAATGGCAAGCTCAGGAAGAAAAATTAGATATAGAATACAAAGACAAATTAGATATAGAATACAAAGCTCGTAAAGACAGATTAGATAGAGAATTACAAGATTATAAAGAGAAAAAAGAAAAAGAAACAAATGATATAATAGCAGAAATGAGAGAAAAATATGAAAAGGAAAAAATAGCAC